CCGGTACGGGGGCAACACTGAGGGTTGCGATCCGTTGCCGGACACGGAAAAAGACAAAAAAAAGACAAAAAAAAAAAAAGGGGGGCTGAGGTATATAAAAGCAAAAGTAAATAAAGCAAAAGCTTTCTAACCCTCTTCTATAAGCCCACTCTCCCCAGCCCAGACCACTATGTCTCCTACCCCAGAATCTTGGCACAGTCATCATAGTATTTCATTGAGTTCTTGACAAAACTGAAGCCATTGACATCACACACAAAGGAGTGACCATTAGCACGAAGAAGATCAAATCCACAAACTGTTTGCTGCAGGGGGAAGAGGCAAGATGAGAACAAGAGAGCCAGTCTCTTTCTTTCAAGACCTCTGCTCCTGTTACTCTCCCTCATTCCACAACCCCCACAGGCCTTCCTCTACCTTAAAAGCTACGCAGACTTTTCTGGCCACCAGCTTTTCCATGGCAGTCAACATGACTGGATAACGAATCTCTTTCCCCTCACTGTCTCGTTCGACTTTCCCATCCAAAGCTGGAGATTTTCTAGCTTCAGCATGGGCATAATCTGGCCCCACTGTATACACCTGCAGGTACATAGCATCACTGAGTATGCCCACAGCTCACCCTATATATGAGAAGACAATATGAGCAGTAGGTCTGTAGACTAGTTTTAGAATAAAAAGCAAAAACAAAAACAAAACAAACCTTGAGCATTAAGAATAAGGAGGATAACTGACATTTTTCTTACTGAGCCCTAGTGAAGTATCATTATGAAGGTTTCTCCTTGGGACTCTTAGCACTATCGTCTAGTCCTTATTAAAATAAAATTTACCAGCATTATACCATTTTCTGTGTCACCCTTGCCCTTGGTCTGATAGTGAGAATGTCACTGTCTACATCTTCACTCCTTATCTTCACCTGAATATGAAAGCCAATCACGTCCACACTTTATTTTCTAGAACTCCTTTCATATACTTCCACCTGCTTCCCAAGCATCCCATCTCCCACCCAGACAATTGTAGTCTCTTAAATCCCTGTATCCACCATAACCTTGACATCTGTGCCATCTGTTGGCATAAATTCCTCATAGATGTATGACCCTGTCTTTCGGACGCTGCTCTCAGGAGAGTAAACGCTGCTTCGGCTGCCAATCTTCAGGAGGAAAAGGGAAAAAAAAAAAAAATGTTGCCTCAGCCCTCCACCCTGTCCCCAAATCCTCCAGCTTCCTTCCCCACAACCTTACCCTTGTCTTTACACCTCTCTCATTCCCCAGATGATCAAATGCTTCCCCACCTTACGGAAGAGGCGCTGGCTTCCTCCTCCAGCTGAACTGGGGTAGTAGATGTAAACATTGTGGTCCTCTGCACTCACTGGCTTCTCCACAAAGGGTTTGGGAAAGACAGCTCCATTGACTTCTACCTGGTCTTCACCTTCTATCAGGTTGCATTCTGAAAGGTGGGTGTGTTGTCATTCTTCAGACCTAAGTTTGTAGAATATTCCCAACTCCCATTTCCCTGGGTTTTAATCTCTCAAATTTTTATGACTATATCTTAGTAATAGATATGATAATACTATATATGTATATAGATATGATAATATCCATATAATAGGTTCAAGGCTCCTTTCAAAGACCCATGACTGTAACACTGCCCATTATGCAGTAACCAAAACCCTCTAAATAGGTGGCACATAGGCGATGTCTAGAAGATGGAGAACTGGGCTAAGTCATAGAAAGCAAGGCAGGGCAGGCCTGGGCAAGGCCAGGTACTCACCCTCAGGCCGGGCAGGGTCACGGTTGAGCACAGCATATCGAGGCAGATCAATACCCTCCTCCTTCAGGATCCGATACACCTCCCTCCTGTTACCCCCAAATAAATTAGCTGGGAGAGGTGATGGGTGGTAACTAAGAGGAAAGGTTGGGGATTTCATTTGTGCAAGCGTTGGAAGACACCAGGGCACAGAACTCAGCAGGGTATGGTAAAAGAATTAAGCATATACATTTGACTCTGCCCCTCCCAGAGTGGGTTCCCTAAATGGGCATGATCTCAGAACCACCCATCCCACTGGTCAACAGAAAGCTATACCTATCTTGGATGTAATACTGCATGGCCAGATCATTGATAAGAAAGGGGTTTCGAAGCTTGGAGTAAGCAACAGCTTTGTCCAGAGGAAAGCCTGGGATGGAGAAGGAAATAGAGAAACCAAAGAAAAAGAGTGAAAGAGATAGAGTGAGAAAACAGCAGGAGAGACAGAGAAACATATTAAAGCTATTAGCTACCACTGAACTCTTCTACCCATCCAACCCATCACATATCCTTCTGCCCAGCTTCCCAAGCCTACAAAATTCATCAGGAAAAAAAAATTTTTTTAAATGATTTTTAGGGTCCTTCCAGAGACCAAATTTTGTCAGAGATCCTATGAACCTTAGAGCCATCCTAACTTTAGAATATGGGCTTTAAACTACCCCCAGCAACTCCTCCAAGATGTAGGGAAAGTAAACTCCTTTGCATTCTTCTCTACTGTGTCAGGAGGAGATGATGACTTCTTTAAGGAAAGCTGATGGTCTATTTCTAAGGAAATAAGACAGTAAGAACCTCATTTCCCAATCCAGGATTCCTACCACCATTCCTTCCCATTTTCCTTCCCAGATCCCAACCTTTGGAGTGGAAAGAGATGAGGCAGTGGCAGGATGGCCAGTTTTCCACAGGTTCATTGAGGATCACATCTTCTCCCAGGATGATAACGGTCAGGTAGTCAAATCTGCAGAGTCTCTCTAGAATTTGGGTCATTGGCTTGGATTTGGATTTCTTGGTCATGGCACAGATACCAACAATGATCTGAGGTTCAGGAGGCTACAGAGAAGAAGAATTATCAGGAACTTCCCACTTCTATCACCCCCATCAGGGAACACTGTTTCACTTTCTTAAGTCACAAAGTTTCTTGCTAGGACTTTGGACCTGTGCCTCCTAACTGATCTAAGTTGGGGCATGTCTAGGGATTCCCTACTGCCTACAGAATAAAAGCCTCTCCATAGTAGGAAATATGTGCTCAAGGAGAAGAGCCAGAGAGCCAACCAATAACCATTAGACAATAGAAGGAGGGCATAGGCATGGGTTTCAAAGAGAGGTAATCTAACCAATCTCCATCGTCCCTCCCCTAAACCAGGATAGGACCTGTTTATGACAGGGAGTCTATGCATTTGGAAAGAACAGAGAGGTGTCTCCAACAAGTGGAATCTCAACTCTTTATGAAGGGGACGCAACACCAAGTTACATCATTTTCCCTAGTCTTACCACTTCACCCTAGTCTTACCACTTCATCCTCTTCGTCCTCAAGGAGCTCGCCGTCACTCTCTTCTGTCCTCATACCTATTCCACGGGTGCCCAGCCCCTCATCTCCAGCTCCAAGGAAGAAATGGGCTGTGGTGGTCTCACTCTCACTGGCCATCAATGACCACATCCCCGCCGGAGCACCCACTCATCCCGCTCTGCAGAGGGGGATACCCCATTAGCTCAGAATCCAAACCCCCTGGCAGTTGGTGGGGATGGGGTATGGGGAATGAGAAAATAAGAGGGAACAACAAGGGTACTAGGGGAAACAGAAAACAGTGCTGTGGGAAGAAGAATCAAGAAAGGAGGCATATGGGCTGTGACTTGAAATGACTAAAGAGCCATAAAAGAAAAGAAGGTCTCCCTTTTCCTCCCTGCTCACCCCACCCCAACCAAGAAACTGGTAAGAGGATCAGGAGATTAACCCTTACAGTGCTGGCATGTCCCTGATTCTGCCAGCAGGAAACGTTAACTCCAGGCAGCAAATGGGAAAGGCAGTTCCTCAAGGAAGGCTACTGTTGATTCCTACCGGGAGAGAAGATCAGAATGACATTTCACACTTTGGACTCACTCCACAATGTTCCTAGCTCTTCTCCACCTTCTCCTTTTAAGGTACCCCACAGTAGTGCTGAAGTCAAGGTTTTAATACAAAAGCAGAAGAATAAGAGAGCTCAGATGCCTTTGCCCTTAAACTCCATCTTCATTTCTACCAGAGATTAACTCAAAAACAAAGGGCACCCATGTTCTAAGCATTATATCAGAACATTAAAATCCTCTATGCTCCCTCTCTCTCCTTCACCTGCTCTACCTTAAAACAGATACCCAAGTCCAGAAAATCCACTCAAGGAAAGAGGTCTAGTTCCGGTTGGACGGTTTGTACCATAATTTCCAACCCATTTTCAAACTGCAAACTCCATGTTCTCTGTACTCTTCCCTTGGTACTACAGAACCAGTTCTCGTCTAGGCCGTGGTCCCTCACACCAGGAGCTACCATGGAAAAAAATCCTTCTTAAAGCCATCTCTTTAAGAATATGCCATATCAATAAGAATAAACCATATCGTAAGAGTATCCTAAGACTTTAACCTGAGTCAGAACAACCTGGCAGTTCCACTTCTGCATACATATACACCTAGAATAGTGGTTCTCAACCAGTTGTTATTTTGCTACACAGGGGACATTTGGCAGAGATATTTTTGGTTGTCATAACCGGTAAGGTGCTATTGGCATCTAGTGAGTAGAGGTCAGAAATGCTGCTAAACATTCTAAAATGCATAGGATACCACCCACAGCAAAGAATTATCCAGCCCAAAATGTCAGTAGTGCTGAGATGAAGAAACCTTGCTGTAGAGAAACTCTCCTACATCATAAGACATGTGCAAGAATGTTCTTAACCTTCTTAACCTCACTGCTGGTAATGGGAAAAACTGAAAACCACTTACATGTCACAAGTAGAAGAATGGATAAATACAATGTAGTATATAGAAATGATAGACTAATAGCAATTTAAAAAATGAATCAGGGAACACATATTCTATTTTATGAAAGGACGTATTGCCTGATTTTAGAATCGCAATAAAGCTAATCTAGATCTTTAAAAAAAAAAAAAGCATAACTATATGTAACAAGTAGACAGTTTCCAAATGCAAACGTCAGGAATATAAATACAGTAAAATTTCATTTTATACATAAAAAACATTACATACTATTTATGACTGCATATATAATTAGTAGAAGTATAAAAATACAGACTAGAAAGACATCAAATTCATGATAGTGGTTACCCTTGAGGAGAAGGGAGAATGGAACTAAGAAGGATTCAAATGGTACTTCACAACTTTATCTATAATGTTTATTTCAATTTTTAAAAAGATCTGTTGATTACAGTGTGGTGCTGATAACAGCAAGGTATAGGGTTCAATCCCTGTACTGGCTAGCTGCCAAAAAAAAAAAAAATTAAAAATAAAGTAAAACAGATTTGAAGCAAATACACAAAGGTTAACACTTAATAGTGAATAGTACACAAAAGGTTAACATTTGTTAATAGTGAATCGTAGGGATATGAACATCTGTTGTTATTTTCCAAAAATAAAACTGAGTCACACATCAGCAATTTTCCATGGTCTCCAAAAGTTCTTGGAAACACTGGCCAATGACTAACGAAAGCCACAAACTCCTTAAGTAAACGAGTTAATTCAGTCTTATAGACTTTTAAAATATCTTCAACAATTACTTTCTATATTATTAAACTGTTCCATTACAACTAGGGTTTGTTGCTTTGATTAGAAAGTTATAGCTGACCTTTATATAGATCTTGACCTTTCTTGTCTTCATCATCTGCTGTCTCTGTTGCTCATCCACCAGGGGGGCACAACATTCTCCTTAGACTTAACAGCCAGTTATGCACTGCAGGTCTCACATATATACTCCCCTTCCTAATTAACAGGCTATTTCTTTGAACTCATTTTTAGTGACCTGATCCAGTTTCCATGATGTGTGGCATTCCTAAGGTCCCTGTAATTTTAAGCAATTAGAATTCTGGGGGCTAGCCCTCTTGGTTAGAGCATGGTATTATAACACCAAGATCAAGAGTTTGGATCCCCATACCAGCCAGCCACCAAAAATAAATTTTTTTTTTGATGCACTCTTTATCCTTTCTCTGCAGCAGAGGTTTTCTCTCATGTCTAAGAGTCCTAACCCTTTGTCCTTTCTTTCACTAAGTCCTTAGTTTTCCACTGAATGTACAGTCATGTTCTTGAAATTCTATTACAACTGTGTAACAGGGGATGGTAAGTAATAGAATGGGGAGGATAGTCTGTTCACAAATATGGAGCCGAAGAGAGATGAAAGGTCTAAATTCAGAGTTAACAAAGCAAAAATAGAAACCTGACAGAAATAGTTATGAAATAAGCCAGGATTTATTTAGATGTACCTCTGGGAGAAGTTGGATTTAATGTGGTGTTCCCAGAGCCACTTTCTTGTCTTCTATGCTCTTCTCCTCCTCCCCATCTCCCTCAAACAGTTGCAAAAGAAAACTTCAGACTCTACACTGGGCTAAAGGGCAATCTTACTCTGGCCTTAATATGAAAGAAAGGAAGGAAGGAAGGAGAGAGATAGGTAGGTAAGGAGGGAAGGAAGGGCAGATGGGCATCTTCTCAGGAACATCTATGTTAGATCTGGAGAAGGGGAAGAGGGAGGGTAAACTGTGTAACTTCGTGTGTGTGTGTGTGTGTGTGTGTGTGTGTGTGTGTGTGTGTGTAACTTCTTTATCCCTTAGAATTTAGGACTGCTTGCATAGTCCTCTAATTTCCCAAGTCACCATGTACTTGATGGAGGGCTCCATTGTAGTAAAGGGGAGACATCAATACAAATTCCAGGCGGGAATACTTCCAACATGGAAAAATCCCCAGGCCACCAACACTATCTTCTTTCCACCTTCAGCAGTGGACTTCTCACTTCCTTCTTAATGCAATTTTTAAGGCTTCATACACACCCCTTATTCTGACACTGACCAACTGTGCTGCTGCCTTGTTTTCAGTGTCAACTCACTCACACTGCCTTCTTTCCCGACTTGCTTTAATGACTCCTCACTGACTCTCCTGACCACGCCCAACACTCACTGATGCCCCCCGCCCCTCTCTTGACCCTCTCCCCTGTAGACTCCACTCTCACACCTCCTCGTGTAGATCCCCTCCACCCTGATCCTCTCCCCTGTGGACTCCACTCCCTCCATCCTCACGTAGGACCCCTCTTCCTCAAGCAGACCCTCACACACCCATCTCTTCTCTCGCTGACCCCCTCCTCTGTCTTCTGCTTACACAGCTCCAGGTCACGAATACCGCCCTCCGATCCCGACTCAACTACTAGCCCTTGCCCGCCCCCGCCTTCCCCGCCTCACTCTCCCTGCGCTGACATTGAGGCCTCTCCGGCGGGCCTCTTTCCGGAGCTACCCCGACTCTGTACTAACCACGGCCCTCAGTACCGACCGAGCCCACTCTACCAAGCCCACCCCCTCCGATACCGCCCCCATCCCCCAGCCACTCCCCCAGCACCCCCGGCCCTCACTCACCCGCCTCCCTCTGCTCGCGCAGCCGAACCTGCCGGCAGCGACACCTGACAGCGGCCCAATCAAAGCGCGACTTCTCTGCCGTGCCACCAATCAGCGGAGGGCGCGCACCAGCAACAATCAGGCTGCGTTGGCCGGCGTTTCTGCGAGGAGGAGGGTGACTTCTAGTGGCTATAGGGGGCAATGCAACCTGATGCTCCCCTTCCTCCGATTTCTTACTGCGTCGCCACAGTCCAGATACTTGGTCTAGACAGAGACGTTCCAGTAAGCCGAAGCGGGTGGGGATGAGGGAACAAGATGCAGAGGAAGAGGCAGAGTTTATGCCATTGCACCTCCTTGAGAACAAAACCAGGTCTTCTCTTAGTTTTGTAAGACAAAACGGGGTATGATTTACGTACAGATCCAATAAATGTAGGTTGAAAATGTTAACAGGAGTAAACAGGAATGACAGGGAGACGGAAAAGGAAAACAGAGACAAAGACAGAAGCGGATGAGAAAGTTAAGGGAAGGAACATAGAGACATATTTGTAGAGGAGACAAGAAAATGGATGGACATGGAAGATTGGACAAGTGGATTCCTGTCGCCACACCCTGCCTTTTCTCTACCCTCCAGACTTGGAACCAAAGCCGGGTTTGAATCCTGGGCTTACCTTTAATAGCTATGCAGCCTTGGGCATGACACTTAACTTCCCAGAGCCTCCATTTTTCTCATCTGTTAAGAATGGGATTAAAAACCTAGTTTATAGGGTACTGTTTCTGTAAAAGCATTTTGTATATATTTGTATTGTTCTTATTATTATCCTTGCATCTTCACTTGGGTTTCTCTGATAAAGACAGTTCCAAGTTTCCTGTTTCTTCTCTGCAACCTTAGCGATATTGCCACTTTTCCAGTCAGGTGTCTCATTGTACTGATCCCCAAAGCCTCCTGAATGGAGATAGAGATGATTCTAAGGACTGGCTTTAAGAGGAATATATGCTTCCCTCGCACATGCTCAGGTTCATACCCCCTCCACCACTCCAATCCTTCAAACAAGTTATTACAGCATCTTCCAGGTATTTAACTTCTCTTGTTATCCCCTTGAAAATGTGGGCTCTGTCCCTAGTCAACTACTGGAACAGTCCAATTCAATTCGATGAAATAATACATATAAAAGTCCCTTGCAATTGTGAAATCCTTTAAAAACATTATATATTATTGACAATAATAATATTAAATAAATCAAATACCATATATGTTGATTACGTCCCATATACTGTAGGATAATTTTTTTAAATGAGTATTAATACATCATGTGTCTCTCAGACCTCACAAGGAATAAGAAAAGTACACAAATACATGTGTTTTCTCAGTGGAGCTATTATTCAAATTTTGGCAGCTACTCCCTAAACTTGAGTAATTTCTCTACTCCTCTGGCTGTCTTATTTCCCCTTCTGTAATTCTCTCTTCCTGCCCCCTATCTCCTTAATCTTAGTAACCACCCTCTCAATCAAATAACAACCCTACTGCTCTGGAATATTAGCTCCCTCCTTTATCTGGGTAAATTACACCATTCCAAGAAATAATACTTACTTATGGCTACTCTCTAACCTAGATCATAAACCCCCACAACACAGGTAAAATTTTCCATCTTTCCAAGAGTGACCACACTCCAGCTGCAGAACTCTATCTGCTTTCTGATGATTGCTGTATTACCAGGAGAAAGAGTTAAGTGATGGGCCCAAAAGAGAGGTGAATGGCTTCTACGAATACTCACAAATGAGGGAGATTGGAAGGCCTACCTTCTTCACACAAGGGAGGCCTGAAGGGAATGAGAGTATAGGGTGGGGTGGGGTCTCATCAGTGGGGTGAGAGAAATGATATAAAGGGAATTTCTCTTTCCCAAATACTGTCTCCTAAGATTTCCAATCTTACTGTTCTGTGGGTACACCAGGACAGCTGAGGAAAGGGACTAGTGCCACCATGTCTACTCCACCTTAACTGGCCCTTCCCACTGAAGCTCCACATTCCTATTTCAACTCCAGCATTCATTCTTCTTCCTGCCAGGATAAAGGTCAGGTCACACTTGGAGCTGTGGAATTAAAGACCTCTCAAACCTGAATATGCACTTTATGAGGAGAGAGAGGAGGAGAGGCGATCAGGAGGAAGGTGAAGATTCCCAGGTGACCTTATGCCCTTGGACACCACTCACCTCTACATTCCAGATTAAACAGCATTAGGGAGCCAAGAGAAGAAACATATGTTGTGCCTGGAAACCTGTACCTGCCTGTTTCATTCCCACACCCAGTCATTTCACCACACCCTTCACCTCACTTTATATTCCCCTCCAGCCCAGGAACTAGGAGCTACAGACAGGGAACAGAGGTAGAGGAGGAAGAGGAAACTAAACATTCCCTGCCCAACCCCGGCCCCACACCCAGTGCAACCAACAGGTAGGCAAGCTTGCAGAGAATACTCAGAGAGAGTCCTCTGAGCAGCAAACAGGTCTGATCCTGGAAGAGAGGAAGAGAAGTAAAAGATCAAAGGTAAAGTAGGGGATGGGGAGGAGGGTGGGAGAGGCAAAAAAAAAAAAAAAGTAGGGGATCATAAAAAGTGGAGGCAGAAAATAGCAGGGGTTCAGACTTGGGGGCACAGTGGGAGTGAGGGACACAGCATAAATGGGGTAAGAGTTAATATTTCCCTGATTCCTCTCGGGGAATACTTTCTCAACCTTGGGAGGAGAGCACAGGTGTGGCAGGTAGAAGCCTTGGTCCTCTTCCTGGTTCTAAGGAAAAGGTGACCTTGAGCCGGCTAGTGTTTTTCCCAGTGTCTACCTCCAACCCTGTGCTTTCTCCGTGTCTTCCTCTGGTATCTGTGTTTGTTCCGCGATTTCCCCGCGACCACCTTCTCTGGGAAGACGGAGATGTTGCTGGGGCTGGCCGAAAGCAGAGAAGAGGTTGGGCAATGTCACCCTTTCACACCCACAGAGCAGAGGGATCGGGTTTCGTATTAAACCGAGGGGGCTTGACGGAAGGGTGTTCGGATTTCGCTAGTCCCGGTGGGTGCTGTCCTCGACTTGGTGCTGAAATCTGTACGGCCTCATCCCGAGTGGGCCTACATCCCGCCTTAGAGGTGTAAATCTCGGATCCCCCTAATTACCTGGCCGGGTGCTGTCCCCCCCCCGCCCCCGCACACCTAGCGCGTTGGCAGGCGGGAAGGCGGGGCCTGTGTGAGCCCCACCCCTGGAGACTGCGGCTCGGGCCTCCCTCTCCTCCGCCCGTCCGCCAGCCACTAGCTCATTGCGCCTCTCCTGCAGTCAGGTTGTTACCGGCTCCCACTCCGGCTC